TCCCTCCGAAACATCTGGTAACGTCAGGACCGAGAGCGGGGTCATGGGTCAGCCAACGGCGGCTCGTGGACGGGCGTTTCAGGGATCCGACGCAGTACCGCCCGGCCGTTCTCCCGCTGCAGAGAGATCGCCAGGGCTTGGTACAAGCGGTCAGACTCCTGAGACACCGGTTCCCCTGTCCGCAAAGCCAGCGCCGCAGCAAGCTTCCACTTGCGAATCTTAACCAACCTGCCTGATTGACCAAACGACCCCTTCATCGGGGGCAACAGATGCTATAACTTAGACGATAAGTCTGGCATGAACCACTGGCGCTTCTGGGGCACATTTGGCCCGTGAGGGTTCGGAAATCGCGTCAAACATCCAACCTGAAGGCCGCAAACACGCCTTCGACGCGCCCTATGTCCTAAAGCCCTGCCTAAACACCAACAGCCGCACCCTGAGACCTACACCCTCAAACCCCAATTTCTAAATCCCAAAGCTCTCAACCCCCAAAACCCTAGACCCCAAAACCCTGTAACAGCCCCATAAACCCTATTACAATACCCTAAACCCTAAACCCTAAACCCTAAACAAAACACCGAAACCCACAGCAGTTCGACCGAGTCGCCCTCAGCACAGCCTAGCTCTGACAGGCTGTCAGTTGCATTGCAACCGGCCGAGGAGTGGTCAAGGCACCTGTCGAGGTTCCATAACTAATGTTTAGGGTTTAGGGTTTAGGGGTTTAGGGTTTAGGGTCTAGTCATGACTACTAATAGGGTTGAGGATTTAGGGTTAAGGGTATACTAAGATAACGCAAGATTAGTACTAACATTGATCGGAATAGCAAAGCAAATACTGATGCACATGCTTATGACACGAAGAGTTCAATAATAAAGGCTCTGTAATGGCCGGCATTAGGGGTTTAGCATGAGGGCCTTACGATGAGAATAGGATGTGGGGGTATATTATGGTGTCACACACACACATGCTCCGGAAGGGGAGTCTGAAGTATGAGGTAGGTTCCTTGCTGGTTTCTGAGCATGATGAAAACAGGAACTCTCCTAGTAGTGGTGGTATTTCAGATTCAGGCTTCTATATAAATTATGGACGAGGGCAAAGTAAGGGCGTTAGGAGGAGTTTCAAAAACGGTTTATTGTCCGACAAGGTTCAATGAGAACCCATATTGGGATTTAGACTGCCAGCGATGCTTGGTGTCCTAATCCCGACTATTGCCCTACAGTGTCATACCGCACCGGTTATATGCAACAGCAGGTACCCTAAACAATGGGGCAGGGTATAACCCTCTAGATCGGATGCTTAGCGTCTCTTGTTTCTTGAGCTCGTAGCTTTTGCCGGGAACCCTAACCCCTGAACCCTAAACCTTAAATCCTAAACCTTAAACCCTGAACCCCCTAAACCCTAAACCCTAAACCCTAAACCCTAAACCTTCAGGCCTAAACCCTAAACCAAATTTTCTCAGGAACCTCTGAAACATCTCCACCGAAATTTCTTTAACAGCCAACAATGAATAGGAGTTCATAAGGCTTGGCACGGTTGCTATGACCATTGGTGACATTCAAGGTACCTCATTCCCTTAAGGGTCCACCTACCCACAGAGTATATGCCATGGCGCTAAAGTTACTGTCAAACATGAAGCCGTGCAGAACCTTTAAGGGTCTGTCAACATCAGCTCTCTGCTTCGAGCGCCGGGGCCCCCCAACAAGCTTCTATAGACGGGCCTCAATAATTAGGAGTATATTTTATGCAGAAGCTCTTCTAAGGGTTAGTGGGATTTTACAATGGGGACCTTGGTAGCGGGAGAATAGGGATGGGGATATATAGTAATAAACTGTAGGGTTCTGGCAGAGAACATATCTTCAGACCCTCGTAGTCGTAAAACATACATAAAACCCCCTAAACCCTTAACCGCTCAAGCCTGAAGCCTAAGCCGCACTGCAGGGCTTAAGGGACTGAAGGTTCAGGGTTTTAGGGTTAAGGGTTTCGGGTTTAGGGCTTAGGGTTCAGGGTTTAAGGTTTAGGGCTAAGGCTCTAGGGTATAGAGTTTGGGGCTTAGGTGAACAAATCCCTTATAACCTAAGCCGAAAACCCACTGTTACGGTAACAGGCCTGTAAACGTCCGCTCCTCGACGAAGGCGTGCGTACCCTGAGGCGCTGCAAATCTCAGAAGCTTTTCTATGTAGGCCTAAACCCCAAAATAGGCAAAAGCATTTACAACGCCCTAGGGGCCCATGTACCTATAGAGTATGTACTTAGCCCTCAAAGGGGCTACTATATAGGTAATCGCGCTCAAGCCAAGGCATGTACCATATAGGTACATGGACCCCGGGATAATCACGAGTACTTGGAGGTTCATGGGTAGTTATAAGTGGGGTTATAAGTCCCCTAATATGGGTTTTAAGTATAGATACCCTACTATATAACCCTATTTATAACTACCCATGAACCTCCAAGTAGTGAAGATGACTGATATAATCGGAGTCTAGATACCAGTCTTCGGCACAGCGGTCTCGAACTGGGTACCCGCCTGTGGGCAGTCCTGTGGCACGCGCAGAATGTTTGGGATTTAGAGCGGCTTACCTTATATGGACCAAATGACCCCTAAAAGTGGCGGCCCTATACCCTTATACTAGAAATCCATCACTATATTGGTATATGAACCTGAAACCCTTTCAGGTTCATTGTGTCTGATTGAGGTGTGTCCGGTGTGTGCCACCGGCTCAAATCGACGGTTGATGTGAGGTTGCCAGGCTTCTGTAGTTGCCATAGGTTCTTTAGGTCTTTCAAGGTCAGGGTTCGGAAGAGTTGGGAGGTTTATCGGGCAACTTTGGGGTGTAAGTAAGGATTCCATAAGGGGTTCTGAGTGTCCTACACGGGAGCAGGTGCATACGCTTGGGATGCAAAGGTTTGGATGCTTTTGCAATTCATACTTCGGCAAAATCCTGACCACTAATGCACCCCCCTTGAAACAAAAACTGATCCCAAAATACCAGGAAACGTCATCTCTCTTTTGCTGTTGGTTTCCACTGCTCCTATCACAAGCAATGGCATTAGCGCCACCGTTGCCGCTGCCACTACACACGCCCACCCCTCCATCTGCCACCACATCCTCCGCGCAACCCCCACCTCACTCCGCCCATTAGGGTTTAGGGTTTAGGGTTTAGGGTTTAGGGTTTAGGGTTTAGGGTTTAGGGCTTAGGGCCTAAACCCTAAACCCTGCGTCAGTTGTAGACTACAACTGCGTTCACCAGTACCACCATGCTGCTACTAGGACCACTGCCACGACCACTACCTCTACCCCGACCGCCCGGGTTTACTGTTTTGATCAACATGATATACTAGGTGTGCTTTCTACAGCCCCCCAAAACTGCTTATAACTCGGGCTCCATATTGAGCAATAGCAACGCTTTAGGGCTCCGGGGGTTGGCACCGAAAGAAGCGCTCGAAACAGCTGCATGTAGCGGTGATACTAGACTAGGGTGTTGGGTACTTCAAATTCGAACGCCTCGCAGAATCACTTACCCTGAAACCAAATTCTGAATCAATCCTGAAGAGTGTCCTCCAAAATCAACGCCCTAAACCCTAAACCATGGACCATATAGGGGTTTCCGAAAATAGGGGACCCTAATAGAGGCCCTAGAGAGAAGGACCCTTATTATATGGACCCCCAAAATACGGTATCCCTTATTTTCGGAAACCCCCCAATATAGAACCCGAGGGTTGCAATTGAAACTCCACACCGGAAAAGGACTTCGGTTGTGGGCTCGTTGTTTCCGGGGTAAACGTTCAAAAGATTGTTTTTTTTTTTTTTTGGGACAGTACAGCACTTTTGCAAACAAAGATTGGTTTTTTTGGGACAGTACAGTGTTTTTGTTAATTTTCTCGCAAAAGTGCTGTACTGTCCCAAAAAAAACCAATCCTTTGTTGCAAAAATGCTGTACTGTCCCCAAAAAACCAATCTTTT